TCAAATGCCTCCAATCGTTTTATGCCCTCTTCTGAAAGTCTCCAGCTTTCTACTCCATAGAGGAGGACACTAAAGACGTAACATCCAAGAATTCTTATGCGTATATTGATATTTAAAGATAAGTTGCAGATAATCTTTCTAAGGCTGTTGAAAGAGCTTCTGGCTTTTTCAACACTTATTTTTATTTCGTAGCTGTGATCCCAAATAGCCTTAATATTGCAGCCCAAATAGCATATTTTTTCCACTATTTCTAACGGTGTATCGTTAATTGTAATTTGGGCGTTTATGCTGGTGTTCTTTTTTTTATACCCCTTTTTCTATCCGAATTGTCGAATAAAGGCCTCTCCATTTCTCGCCATTCATCCCTGTTGTGTGCTAGGCGTTTCCACATTGGTCCTGCAACTCTTTTGATATCGTCGCTCCAGCGCATTTGAGGTCTTCCTCTTGGTCTCTTCGCATCGTACGGTCGCCAGTTTCCGACTTCTTTGTTCCATCTACCATCTTCGAGACGTTCGTTGTGTCCAGCCCATTTCCATTTTAATTTAGCTGCTTGTTTCGCGGCGTCCTTTATTTTTGTTTTGTTCCGGATTGCTTCGTTCGTTTGCCGATCTATTAGTGAGATACCAAGCATCTGTCGTTCCATGGCTCGCTGAGTTTTTTGAATATTGTTCATGTTCTTTTTTGTGAATGTCCAGGTTTGAGCTCCGTAAGTGAGAACGGGAAGGATACAAGAATCGAACACTTTAGTTCGAAGGTTTTGGGGTATTTTTTTGTCTTTCAGTACGTATGAGAGTTTTCCAAATGCGGCCCATCCCATTCTTACTCGTCTGTTTATTTCGGTAGTTTGGTTTCCTTTATTTATCTTGATATTCTGACCCAGATATATGTATTCTTCTACTTGTTCCACTTTTGTTCCTTGGATGGTTATCGTTGGTTGATCATCTTTATTCGACATTAGCTTAGTTTTACTCTTATTCATTTTCAGTTCTTTTTTTATGGATTCCGTATGAAGCTCATCGATCATCGTCTTCAGTTCTTTCCAGCTGTCGGCTATTAGTACTACGTTATCTGCATATCTTAGATGGTTTAAATACTTTCCGTTTATCGATAGTCCCTTCATTTCCCAATTTAGTGATTTAAAGATGTCTTCAAGTGCGGCAGTAAATAGTTTTGGAGATATGGTGTCTCCCTGTCTCACTCCTCGGTTGATTTTTATTGGCCTCGTTTTCATTCCGTTATCCATCGTGACTACCATTTCAGCGTGTTGATATATATGATGTATTAATATCCTATATCTAGAATCTATTCTGCTGTTGACCAGTGCTTCCTCAATAGCCCATAATTCTATGCTGTCAAAAGCTTTCTCGTAGTCTATAAATGCTAAACAGATTGGTAAATTGTATTCGTTAACTTTTTCTATTACGACCTTTAGTGTGTGAAGATGGTCGCATGTACTGAACCTTTTCTAAATCCGGCTTGCTCTACTGGTTGATATACATCGAACTTTGTTGTCAATCTATTTGTAATTATTTTTGTGAATGTTTTATAAAGTTGTGATAGTAGTGATATTGGACGATAATTTTTCAGATCTGTATTATCCCATTTTTTGTGTATTAATATTGTGTTCCATGCCATGTGGTAGCAGTATTCCATTCCTTTGGTATGTTTCTTTCAAATAGGTTTCTTTCAAATAGACTTCGATTTTTCTCTATCACTCTTTCTACATGTTCTTGTTGATGTTTTTTAATATCGTCTTTTATCTGTTTTCGTATGGCTCGATTAAGTTCTTTGTATTCTGTGGTATTTATTTTGTTTAATGACAGGAGCTCTTTTCGTTGTTTCGGCATATTCTTCGATTCTGCACTTATTTTGGATTTTTTGTTGTTATGGCGGGTTGCTACTTCTGAGCTAGCATTCAATAGTTCTTTTGTTATAACTGAGTTAATTTTATTAAAGCTGAGTTGTTCTAGATTCAGTGCTTGGGCGATTTTTAATTTGCTAGCATATTTTTCTTCATCGACTTTTAGCTTTTCTGTGTCTATTTGTATCGTGTTATTAAAGTTAATTCTACGTTTGCTATACTTAATCCTTAGTTTAGCTCTAACCATTCTGTGATCACTACCCAGAGAGACATTATTTATTACTGTTACATCTTCTACGATACCTTTCTTGTTACACATGATGTAATCGATTTCTTTCCTTGTTTTTCCGTCTGATGATAACCACGTCCACTTTCTTTGCGGTTTTTTCTTATAAAATGTGTTCATTACCAAATATTTGTTGCTATGTAGGAAGTTAACCAGAGTTTCTCCTCGCTCATTTCTAACACCATAGCCGAATTCACCAATATAGTTTTCGCTTTCTTCTAGTCGTTGTCCAATCTTAGCGTTGAAATCTCCTATTATAAGTGTGTAAGTGCTGTGATAGTTCGTGTTGGTTTCTATTATTTTCTCGTAGAACTCATCTATCTCTTCATCGGGGTGTGTTGAAGTTGGGGCGTACACTTGAATGATTTTTAGGGTGAGTTTCTCGTTTATATTCATCACAATCATTGCAATTCTTTCTGAGATTCCCACATATTGTTCTATTTTATTAGCATGTTTCTTAGAAACCAGAAATCCTACGCCGTTTAGACTTTGTTCTTTGTGTCCTTTGTAATACAAGATACCTGATTGCAATGTTATGCGCTCCTCACCTTTCCTTTTTACCTCTGCGAGACCAATTATGTCCCACTTTAGGTCATTTATTTCTTCTTCTAGCTCAGATTTTTTCATCTCTGTTTAAGGACCTTACATTGAGTGTTGCTATATTCAAGTTTGTTGTTTTTAGCGATTTCTTGCTTCCCCCAGATTCCATGAAGCTGTCCTTTTTTATAAAGGAGCGGGACTTGCCAACACTGTATGATCTACCCACCTGGGGACTTACTCCTATCGTTTTGGAATTCGCCATCATTTTGGGGAGGTTATTAGACTTAAAACACCGCGCTGGCCAGACGTGTTGGTGAGTGTGTATTCAGCCGTCCATTCTGGATCAGACGCTGTTCGTAGCCGTCCACTCTGGATCAGACGCTACAGTTCGTGATCTGATACTATCCCTAAAATCAAGGGTTGCCAGCTCCGCCATCTTCGCCGTATCGAAAGTATTCTTCGTCGCCTTGGATGCCGTTCTGGACTTCATCCGTGACCCTGGACAAGGGACCCTTAGCATGTGCTAGCTTCCCGGGTCAAGAAGCTCCTGCAATCTGCGGAGGGCAGGGATTGATTCACTTTCCCTGATAGGACTATCCAATAGAATTCAAGGGACTCCAAAGGAGTTCCTACCCGCTACCCGCGGGTAGGAACTCTTAAGTAAGCCGGTGTTCTTACTAATGATCATTATTTTTGTCTTCTTGCAATTTAGTTTTAGGCCTTATTTGTTACATGTTTCTACAACGTTATCCATCATCCTTTGGAGCCCCTGCGCACTATCTGCCAGCAACACTGTATCGTATGCATATCTAATGTTGTTTATTTACAGCAATTATGATGTGGCCATTTACAGCAATTCCATGTTCTGATTCGTCCAAGGCCTCTCTAAACATGTTTTCAGAGTATATGTTAAATAATGCCGGTGAAACCGTGAAATCGAAATAATGCCCATTTTCGCTCCTTGCACCACTTTCTATTCTGATGCCCCTTTCATCGCAATTCCAGATGTGATCTGCTGTAAATACTCCCCATTCTAATATTTTTTAGTAATTTTGGAAGAAGGATATGACGTTCGTCTTATTAAATGCAGTTAAACGATAATGAGAGATTAAACGTTAAATGAGAGATCAGTGTGTCTACGGACAATCCTCTACTCTTTCCCGGCCTTCTTATCAGAATTCCAATTTCCTGGATTCGCCATCCAGCCTTTCATTAGCCAAGACAATGTGAAAAGTTTTCGTGTCATCGAGCTCACCACATGTGGCACACTTAACCGAAATCCCCGCCGGGAAGAGAGTCTACCCACTAAAACTCTCCCTCCTCTCAATCACACTGTGATCCGCGAGTGTAAGCCGAGACCGCTCTGGTGGGACCATATCTTCAGCGCTACACCCACATCACGTCTCGTCTGTTCTTAGTCTTCTCAACGTTCGCTAACTCTATTAGTAGGCCCACATGGGACGCCAGAGCGCCACTCCTGCACCCGAAAAGCAAGACTTTTACTTCGCGCTTTGTTAATCCATAATGTAGGTTTGCCGCTTGAAGTAGATAGTTTTTTCATTAAAGTTCTACTGTATCACTGAAAACTGTTTTTGTAACATTTTGCCGTATATCGAATTTTTTATCTCCATATTTTTTATCTTCTTATATCTTAATACAGTTAATATGGCGTAGTAATGTGGTTTTTGATATAAGATGCGTTCCTTCTGCCTCATAATAAGAAATTTGTCCCAATAAAATTGTTTGATAGCACTTATAATAGCGGCCTTGTTGACTGGGTTTCTTTTTTTTTTCTTTTTTACCTCTCGGCATGATTTATTCACAAGCTTATCTGAAACAATGAAAATACCATTATTCTAAGCTGAACTAAACATTTACCTATTAATTAAGGTTACCAATAAATAATTCACATAAATGTATTGTACCTTGGACCGGTCCAAAGTACAACTATATGTTCCGAGGTACAAGCACATACCGTACAAACTTAATATTGATCAAAAAATGTTAGATTATGTTTTAATATTTAAACAAAATGCCAAACATGCAAAGATAACAATATTTTTTTATGTGACAACAGAAAGATTATAAAATTTGGAGAATTATACAAGACTGAATTACAATGGCAGATAGCCACATGAGTAAGATACATGCGTATCCAAGGTACAACATCTACCATAAGCATTAATCTATCGAACAATGATCAAAACATACCATTGAACATAATGTTAGTTCTTCGTAATCGGTTAGAAGATTATTGTGTCAAAAGCAATTTAAAAGTCGATTTATAAATAAAAAAATTCAATTTTATTTTAGGTAATTTTAGTTTTGGTAGCTGTACTAAGTTCAAATCCCAAACCATTGTGGAATTTATCGAAAACGCCGTAGAACATTCACGTAGTGGTAGATATTTATTTTTCCTCCACCGAAGGCCTGTGATTGGTCCAGTACGAGTGCAATTACTTCACCCAGTTTCTAGGTTTAAGCAAGTTCAAAGTTTACAACATATTTGTAGGTGAGTATTTTGTAATGAATACATCGAAATTAAATGCGACAATTGTTTAATTACTATGTAGCTAACAAACAAAACTAAACTTATTTCAACAAAATAATTAACTATAATTGCGTTTCCTTTGTCAATTTCCATTTCTTCTTTATGTTGTCCTAGATATCTTTCAATCCCTTTATTGTCTCTTCCAACTCTACCATTTAGGTGTCCCACTAAGATAGTTTCTCCTTCGTTATCTATCTCTGCTGATAACGTTTCGAAGATTTAATCTTTTTTTTTTTCTTTTCTTGAATTATGCAGGTTATACACAGTACGTAAATCTTTCAGCTGGGCATAGGTAATATACATTGAGAGGTAAGTGTGGCAACTGCGCTTTCTCGAGCCCACTGCTGTCGTCAAGGCCGCAGACGTTTTAACTTTGAATATCAATTAAGACTCTATTAGGTGTGCATCGAGTCAAAGTCAATTGAAACATTTCTCTCCGACTCAATTTATAAGGGCAGTTCAATATTACATCTACCGGTAATCAAGTTAAAGTATAAATAACACGCGTCAATGTTTCAAACGCATTTGAACAATCCCCGTAGTTCGTAGGAAATAGATCGAAGAAAGAGGGAATGAAAGATACATCCCATCAAATAAATATTGCACATTGATATGTTATTCAAAATCACCAATATTTAACACGCTACTTGGAGTTCCCCTTCCAGCCGGTGGCGAAGGGTACAGATAAGAAACTCTGTTGAGTCATACCAGTGCTGTACACCTAAAATGTTTATTATTTTACGAAGTATAATTAAATCATGATACTGTCAATATGGCCTATTGCCCTTTAATTATAAATTATTTTTGTTGCTTAATATGACATATTAAAAACTTTTGTATACACTTATGTACTTTACGACAGCTTTAAGTAAATTAAAATCGTGCTTTTTCTGTTCTTCATTAATCTATATTTGTTTATAGAAATAAATGATGCGCCCATGTCTGGTAATATGATATTATTCTTTTAAGGTTTGTCGGCAACTAGTTTTTTGGTTTCAACTGATTTTATAAATACTATACGTAAATCTACTATAATTTAAAGTTATTGCAATGCAGTTAAAAACCTTTGAAAATATTTACAGTAAATGGACTTTACAGGCTATGCCCACTGAAAAACGAACAAATATTATTCTAAAAGTACTTAAACACAAATAAATAATTTATTTAAAGAAATTGGAAAACAAACAATACATTCTACGGTACTGAATAACGTATAATCTAAATAAAAGGTTCAAATATACCACCTTTTGCAAGACAGTAACCTAGTGTATCGTAAAATGCTTGCTTACGTTTGCAAGCTGTCGTGGCGTAATCGTAGCACAAGCATTTCTTATTTTATTTTCTAAATCAACTAGATTATGTGCTCTCTTGAGGTCGTTGCCCTAGGGTGTGGATTAATATGTCCCTAGAAAAAGAAATCCATGTGAACCAAATCGGCAGATCTCGCAGGAAAGTTTTATTTGGCTTGTTCCGATAATAACGCGATACTGAAAAATTGTGTTTAAATAATTTCTCACGATACGCGCATTATGAACGGAACAGTTATCCTGTTGTTACCAGACGTCTTCTAAACATACATCTGGTAGATTCTGAATAGCTGGAATAGTGTTATCTTGTAAAAGAGCAACATATTTAGCTGAATTTAGAACTCCCTTAATAAAAAATGGACCAATTACATGGTCACCTAAGATTCTGGACCCCACATTAAGTTTTTGAGGGCGGTGGTTTCGATGTACAATACTTCGGTGTTCATTTTCCTGAGACCAATACATCGTTCTGGAAGGAGTGTGATGCGCTCGTACTGAATGTAACGATTAATGGGCGAAAAGGATATTTTTTATAAAACTATTATTTTCGTGAGATGCATTCATTGCAACGTCACAAAATCCCCTAAAATTTGACCCTCTGATATTTTTGAATTTTCTTTTTGTGGTATTTGACATTTCTTCCATTTGAGATTGTTGCAGGGTTTGGTTCATTAGTATCAGCCTGCGTAGTTTTTATTTCACTTAAGGCTTATCCTCGAAAATTCTAACGGTAAATTTCAGTTTGCTATCTCTATTTCAAAAATTTCTTTCTTTACGAAAACAAAATCTGTTCATGAAGTAATATTCTAAACTTCGTTTAGATCTCTTTCAAGCCCAGGTCAAAAATGCGTTTACCTTTTACTCGAGCCGATTATACACCGAGACAACCCCTGCAGTGACAGGTTTTGACTTACAATAAGACCATAAATCTCTTTAGTGGTATTTTGAGTAAATATAATAACAGATCAAAGTAATATAATCTATTCATAAATTTACAATGTAACAAATGTACATACATAATTTATTTGTTATTTTTTTTTACGGAAAAATTGGCTGTCTGAAGTTTAATGTAGATTAAAGTTTACGGAAAAAAAATTATAAAAAAAAGATTATTATTATATGAGGACCCTAGAGGAAAAGGGGTATAAGTGACAAAAAGTAAATTTCGAGTAAACGCGGTTCAAAGTTCAGCTTTCACTGTAATTGCCACGATTTCTTAATGATAGATTTTCTTCTCCGGTTTAGTAACTGTAGGCATTATTCTTAATTGTAACAAAAAAACATGACTTTATTAACATTACTCATTTTGGAGCCATTTTTAGGCTACTAAGTAGCACTTGTACCCCTTTACTTCTAAGAATTGTAACATAAAGACAAAACAAATTTAAAAATACTATAAAGTTTTTGTTCAAATTTATTCTTTACCATAACACTAATACATAATTGATTTATAATTCATCGGCATCAGTGTCGTAATGATGTTCCAACTCGTTATTTTCGACTTCCGCTTCTTCTGAGTGTATAAGTTCTCTAGCTTGTTGACCATCATGTCGCAGATTTGTGAAAAATTCATGTAAATTGGAGGTACGTAGCTAAGCAGCTGTTGCAGATTTGAATACTTGGCCTGCTTAATTAGAGGCCTTCTGTCAATCGGTACTGGTAAGAGATCTGGCAGAAGGACAGGGTTTTTGCCAGATCGAGTGGGTTTCATAGATAGCTCACTAAACTCTTCCATGCTACCTCCAGCTGATTTCTTGTAAAACAGGGTTAAAGAATTGCCCTGCTGAAAATGTAACCATTGCATACTCTGTATTCCACTTACGTTCTTCTTGAAGTATGGCGCAAGTGTTTGAAAATCTAAAAAATCGTCATTTTCCATCTGTACTGTAAAGAACTTTCTACTTGTAGAAGTTACCAGTTTCATTCAATGTTGTGGTACATACAGGTCCTTTTTGGTTCTTTTCTTTTTTAACTCTATTAAACCAAAATTTTTGTCACACTCATTATAAGAATGGCCACTTATAAAAAATCGATGATCCACTGTTTGAATATTAGTGTTTCTGACAATGTAAAGCCAAAATTTGACTGTCAGATGACTCTTGTTTTGACCTCCACAATTGTCGCTAAATGCAGTTATGTGTTTTACAGATTGGGGAAGGCTTCTGATATATTTTAGGAGACAAGATGATATTTCCTAACATCCACGTGACGCCTGACCTTCGTGCCACATAAAGAAGTGGGTCGTTCCATTCTGTAGGTTATGGACCCCTAAGTTATAAGTCCACAATTGCCTTAGATAGTATGCTTTAGAAGTTGACACATTGGGAGTTGGCATAGTTTTTTGTAAGTCGAAGATGAACGCAACTTTGCTAGCATCCTTTAGGTCATAAAACTCTTCTTTTGCTATTCTGACAGCTTCCGCCTTACGCAAGTGTAAGTCTTTTTCTCTCTGAGCTAAATCTTTTTCTTCTGCCGAACCGTGATTTATTTTTATCTGAAATTTGTCGCATTTGTCACAAGTGTCTGTACTTGGCCTTTTGAAACTAAGGTTGAAATAAGTATTAAAAATATTTCTGTAAAAGCTTTCCTTTACAGGTTCTTCCTGTTTTTCCTCCTTACAGAAATCACAATAAAGCTTATACATTATTTTCAAATTACACTCCTGAGGAAGATACCTCCTATTAGGAGTCTTATTTCTAGTGTAGTGGCTTGTGTACTTAGGGAACTTATTATTATGCTCTTTTATGATTTCAATTGCCCTTTCAGAAATTTTGGTTGGGGGTGAATTTTTTCCTCTTTTATCTATGCATGCCACGCCCGAGGAGGCTTTTTTTTTTTGCTTTCAACTACATATTGTAAATCTTTGTTGGAGATATCATTATAAACTCTTTACATACTCTAAATCCTCCCAGATTATAAACACATGACACCTCTTTGTTGCTAACTGCATTTAGATTTTTTCTTTTTATAGGCTAATCTCGTTCAAAGCTTCAAACAAACAGCACGAACTCTTCTTAAAAGCACTGTATTTAATAATAACGTAAAACACTGCAGTTTACAATAAAGTAATACTTTAATGACAAGGTAATATTGCTTTAGAAGAGCTATTCCACTACCCATCCGAAAAAATAACATACTCAACTAACAGTCTGACACAGTGGAACAGGGGTACAAGCGAACTTGTATCTCTTCTCCTCCAAACCCTACTCATAGTTGGCTTGGAGGTTAAGTAACTTGTCGCTAGAAAGCAGCACCTGTTAGATTTATCGCTTAGATCTCTTTACCACCAAATAGAATGAAATATTTCCAGTTCGCAGTGCATTTACCTCAATATTTACAAAAATGTCACTTATACCCCTTTTCCGCTAGGGTCCTCATATATCATAAAAATTTGATTAGTATCACGATCATTAAAATTGATAAAATGAAACTATATAAATATAGAATTATGTCTAATGTTTCTTCAGAAGGTGTTTCAAATAAAAATTATAATAATGTAAATGTAAATGTTATAATAATATATGTAAATATACTCCTAGATCTAGAGAAAATGGGAGTGCGACAATGGAAATTACTGGCACAGGAACGACAAACATGGAAGGCAATAGTAACCGCGGCAAAGACTTACGAAGAGTTGTAGCGCCATTGATGATGATGATGATGAAATATACGGTATAACTATTTATATGGATGTGAAATATGGATCATGAAGGATAATATGATGGACATTTTGACATTTTAGGATGTACGTTGAAAAATTAAGGCAAATATCGAGCATAAATTTAATAATCAAATCTTGCCCAAGTACTTTCGCTTTCTACAGCATCATCAGGGGAATCTGAAATAAGCCAAGAAAAGTTTTTTTAAATGAAGAAAATTAATAAACTTCGATAAAAAAACTCGAAGTTAACGGATGATAAAAGTTTTTTGTGATTAACATTTTAGACTTACTTCGTCAAATTTGGTCTATCCAGCAAGCGCAGATGCCCCTGATGATGCCGTAGAAAGCGAAAGTACTTGGGCAAGATTTGATTATTAAATTTGTGCTCGAAATTTGCCTTCATTTTTTAAAGTTCATTTATTCGAGCATTCAACCTTATATAAATAATTTAGGATGTGACTCAGGTATATGATAAAGTATGACAAAGACGCCATAACTATAAACTAAGACTACATTTACCAAAACGATACTCTCAAATAATTGACTCCTCCATCTTGGAAAGATATTTCAGAATTAAACAGGAAGAAACATACATGGAATATACAGATATTACAGCAGGGCTGCCACAAAGAAGTGTCTTTACCTTTTGTATACGTGTTATATTATTGTCCTAGAAAATATACAATTGCAACATTTACCGAAGATATTGCTATCATAGCAATATGCAAAACCAGCGAGGAAGCGACAAAGAAATTACACAGATGTTAATCAAATATATACTTCAGGGAAATAAGCAAAAAATAGACTATGTTCGTGACACTCAATAATCCAGGTCGCTGACAACTTTTTTAGTTATTGTAGACCTCTAGGAAGAAAACCTACTTCTTTTTTTGCCTTGAATTTGGAGCCGTTTTTTAATTATTGACAATTTAATGCAAAAAACGCGACTGTTTCTATGATTATTGATACTAGTATTAAAAAAAAATAGATTTTTGGAAGAAAATTGTTTTGCACGAATTGTTTAAACAAACTAGACTATTTATTAATTAATTAATATATAAACAAATTACTAATTCCTAATGTACGTAGAAATTACATACAAATTAAAAATAGATCATGCAAAATAAAAAAATAAGAATGATCAAAATCCATTGAGTAGATCCGAAGATATAGAAAATTTTATTAGTTTGAAATTGCTTGTTCGGTTTGGATTTGTAGGTTCTTCCTAGTCACCATTTGAACTACATTTTTGAAAATTCGTAGAGGGTCCTGTAAAGATACAATGTTTGTGCAAATTTTTTAACAAAAAATACAAATCCCATTCCTTAACATGGCAAAAAATGAGGTTCCTTAATTATTATATTCAAATTAGCTGTGAATTATCATCTTTTCTTTGACTTGATCTACTACTTGTTGTAATTGGTCGTAAAACATTTCCCTTGTTGTTTGAGACTTATTATTTTCTAGGCCGTATACTCCGATAATGTTCAGGTTTTCCTTCTCCATTCTTATCTTTGATGTTACTATTCTTTCTGATATGTATTGACACTCTTTGATGTAGTTTTGATACCTTTGGTGTATTAGTAAGGCTACACCTTCTTTGGCTCTGTTTTCTTTTGCTACTCCACTGTAGATTAGTATGTATTCACCTAATTTTGATTGACTTTTTCCTTTATTTTTTGTTTGTTGTAGAGCACAAATGTCCATTTCTTTCTCTTTCAACACTTGGGTTATTTCTTGGTCCCTTGAGTTGAGTGATCTGATATTCCAAGTAATTCTCATCTGGGTTTTGGATGTTTTTCGCTTGTCCTTATTTCTTGCCGTAGTCGTCTTCATAGTATCAATCCGGTTCCGAGACTGTACATTGTTTCTTTGAGCAGTATTTGATTTTACGATTGGTAGGTTGCTAACCAATAAATATAAATAATTAAATTTCATATTCAAATACTGCAAATTTGGTTATTACTCTGAGCTCATGTAAAGAAGAAAATAAAATAATAATTCTGATTCAAATACAAAAAAATGTACTGGATGATTGACCAGAACTCTACGCTGTTTCTATATAATAAATTATTATTATATAAGCAAATACTGAAACAATTGTATTATTATAAAAACACTATAAATATTTAGAAAGAAAATGGAAAATCAACAGAAAATATTTCTATTCATATAAAAATTTAATAAAATTATAGGTACTTACTGCTTATTTATATAACATTTCCTATTTTAAATACAATAAACACACTGGTTTGTCAAAAGTCGGAATAAGCCCTAATAATGTTATTCTACTTTATTTATCCTCCTCCGAGGGTTTTACCTACCTGGCGAGAATCCAGAAGCTACCGACAAGGACACCCTGTGCTGACGGAGAGAAAATTGTGTTTAGCAAAAATTTGAAATTTTTTAAAAGTTTATATCAAATAGCTGCTTTGTCTTACACTTTATGTTAAAAATAAAAACAGATTCGGAAAGTGGGTCAAATTCTGTAGTGCCCTATTTAAAAAAAAAAAAAAAAAAATTCGTTTATTTTATCCAAAAATATTTGAAAAAAAAAATATTGTTTAAACAATTTATTAATTTACAACCAAATAGTGCACTAGAACTTTTTTAGACCTTCCATATAAAAAAAGAATCATCTCAATATCTGCCATAGTTTTTGCGTTATTTGATATAAACTTTTACATTGGAATTTACCTATGCCCAGAATCGCGAGGATCGGCCTTAACTTCACAGTGAAGCGTATTCAATCCGTCCTCGGACTCCTTGTCGACCAAAATGTAATCTCTCATCAGCGTTCTGCTTGTAGTCCAGAATTTCCCAGCGTCCAGATCTTCAATTTTGGTCTCTGGAAAGTGCACTAACACGATTTAGGGAGTTCATATATAACGTTTCAAGTAAAGGAAAATTTTATTTTATAATGAAAGATTGCATAATGGACTTCTTACTATATTTCTAGTAAAACATGTTTATATTTGTAGGTTTGTAATACATAAGAATGTTAGAAGAGACTTAATACCGAGCCTTCCACTTCCAAGAAGGATGATAGATTACCTAAACACACCTTACTATTACACGGAGCACCTCGTAGACGTGCGAGAAGTTGAAGAAGAAAAACCAGAAAGCCGTGCATTAATTGATAATCAGCACAACGTCCAATTAGTTGATAATTCCATTGTACCTGTTAACAATTACGTTATTGTAAATAATACCAGTAGTAGTACCAGCAATGTAACTAATACCCGAGAAACGTGAAACGGTAATTTCAGGGTTCGTACATCGATATGGCTTAATTTGTGGGGTAAGTGATCGCGATGGTCAAAACATCTCATGTATTTGATTTTCATCAAGAGACACGTGATTAATTTTCATCAACAAACACATGAAACATAACTATAGGATTTTTCTATTAAATCCGTGGCACTTCATCAATGAGCTGTTCAATTTTAAGTTACAATCGTCTTCTACTCTCGCATGTGCAATTTTGGAATGAATTTGGCTCACACGCGAGTTATTCTCAATTCCATTTCAAGATTGATTTCTAGTTCGCTTAACATATATTCCAGATCGATCTTGCAATGGAAGGTCGGTGACAATACCGGTTACTGCCAACAGAATTATGGTCATTTTTAAACAGACTGAACCGTAATCTTGTTTATGTCTTGCTTATTTATTTACAGTCGGTCATTAATTGTACTCCAGTATCAGATGGTCTCTTATTTCTCCAACTACAAACAAACACAAGTAAACTAAATATCTTACAGATCTATGCACTTACTGCAGATAAATCCGAGGACGAAATTGAACAATTCTACGAAGAAATCAATCAAGTATTAAAATCGACGAAACCACGAGACATCACCGTAATTCTAGGTGATTTTAACTCAAAAATTGGTAAAGGAAAAAGTGGCAAACATATAGGAGAATACGGACTCGGTAAAAGAAATGAACGAGGTGACAGACTACTTCAATTCTGCCAGGAGAATAACATGATTGTATCTAATACATTCTTCAACTTACCAAAGAGAAGACTTTATACGTGGAAATCACCCCAGGACAATGGCGAAAGAATAATTCGAAACCAGATTGATTTTTTACTGATAAACGAACGATACAGAAACTCCTTAAAATCCGTTAAAGCTTACCCAGGCGCAGATGTCTTTTCAGACCATAAACCTCTAATAGCGCAAATGAGTATTCAACTAAAAAGATTGGAGCAGAAAAGAAGAGCAAATCAGATAGACGTCAGTCATTTATGTAACCTGGGGGTAAACGAGAAACTGCAAAAATGTATTAATAATAATTTGAAAATACTTCATGAAAAAGAAACATCTCAGCCAACGAACAACATAGATAAAAAATGGCAAAACGTAAAAATGGCGATAACAGAAAATAAAAAAAAATGGAAATCAAAATAGAAATCAGAATAGCAAAAGAAGATTTTTATAGAAGAAAATGTGAAGAAATGGAGCAATTGCAGGCAAAACATGATTAATGTACATAAAAAAGTGATAGAACTTGCAGGTACACAAAAACGTAAGCAGCCAAATACCCTGTATAATGTCAACGGAAACATAATAACAGAACTAGAAGAACAGTTGAAGACATGGAAAAACTATATTGAAGAACTCTTTGCAGATGATAGACAACAATCTGAGCTAAGTAACATACAAGGAGACGAAGGTCCAGAAATAATGGAAGAGGAAGTAATGTACGCACTAAAAAGAATGATAAATGGTAAAGCCCAGGTCCAGATGAAATACCAACGGAAATACTTAAACTAATAAAAAAAGGCCCGATTCATATTTTAGTTGAACTTTTCAATAGCATTTATACACCAGGAAAAATACCACAAGAGTGGCTTTTATCCACTTTTGTTATTATACCAAAAAAGATAAATGTCAAACAATGTAGTGATTACCGTACAATCGATCTGATGAACCATGTACTGAAAATATTCCTGAAAATTATACACTCTAGAGTACACAGAAAATTGGAAATGGACATAAATAATACCCAGTTTGGATTCCGAAATGGACTCGGAACAAGAGAGGCGTTGTTTGCACTGAACGTTATGTCTCAAAGATGTCTTGACATAAATCAAGATGTATTCATGTGTTTTATAGATTACAACAAGGCCTTTGATAAAGTGCGGCATGATCACCTAATCATCCTGACAGAAAAGAATTTAGATAAACGAGACATCCGACTAATAGCAAATATGTACTACAATCAGATAGCAGTAGTGCTTACCACTTTATTCTAGTTATACTTAATGAAAAATTCGTTTACATCTCTCCGTCAACGATAGAATATATGCAACGGCGAATACTGAAAAGATAATGTACATAAAAGCAGGCTATTACGTCACCCCCGTTCATAACTGCGATATAAGGCAAGTTGTGAAAAATTACAGAGTTTGCTCGTACTCTTAGAGGGCGCTGAAAGTTTTGACGTGAAGTTGATACGTTTGGGACAGACCTCGTAAATTATAAAAATACACTGAACTCAGTTGAGTCGAGAGTTCTTATTTAAGATGGTAAAAACAATCCTAATATTCTCAAATCATCACGAGTACAGTATTTTGTTGGCGATGTAAAATTATATCAATACCCTTGAATGTTCGTGTGGTTCATGTCACTGATCTCAGTCCCAAGTGAGTAAATTTAGTAATTCATTTTGTACTATGCAAGGCAAATTTTGACTTCGTCTGGAAATTAGTATACAGCCAAGCACACGTTCTCATAGATAATGATAATTGTGACAAAAGTAAAAAATTATTCACATGCAGTTTATCAACAAAATAAAACTGCATTAATTAAAACAATAAAACAAAGGTTGAATGTTATTTTGAAATTTTATAAACGTTTATAGATAAGTATTTGCAAATGGAAAGTTTTTAATAAAACTTAATGATGATAGTCAAAAAAATATGCAACATTAAGATTATTTCAGCTATAATGAGTGGTAGGAATTTTTATGTTGTATGTTTCTCACAATAACTCTGTCAAAATATTCCTAAGCTCAGTGAATGGACTGTATTGATGATGTGCAACGGAATTGTTAGGAAAGAAGGAATATAGTCAACATACAATAATAATAAAGCATTTTTTGCGTTACTAAATACATTATAACCGACAATATGCTACCGTAAAACTATTATATAATTAAAATAATTGAGGATGGTTTGCATTGCTTATCCATAGCTAACTGCTTTTCTCGCTAGTTGTGTGAATTATTTTTTGGCACGTCAAATTACAGTTCTAAAAGAATGCAAATTAAAATACAACCTTTTTTATAACTATTTAAACAACAGTTCTATGTAGTTACATATTAGGAATTCTGAAATCACATGCTTTTATTGCAAAAGCAAAAATCCTCATTTCCAGTAATATTGTACTAGCTATTCTGCATTTCTGTCCAATATTATTTTATTTATTGCATACGTCTTTTATGAAATGCTTCCAGAAAGAAATGAATGATATTTCTTTGGCCTAACACAAATGTATTTTAATTATCACATGCTAATTCATCTTATAAAGGCCATACAATCATCAAAAGATGGCAGAGCGACTGGTCCTGATGAAATTCCAACTGAAATATATAAGCTTATAAATGATAGCAATATTTTAGAGGCTATAACTTTCTCAATCTCAACTTTTCAATACCATTTATACCAGCGGACAACTACCTAATGGTTGGTCTAACTCACTGTTTATAGCTCTACCTAAGAAGACAACAGCAAAAACCTGTGCTGATTATAGAACCATCAGTTTGTTAAACCACTTATTGAAAATTTTTCTGAAGGTAATACATGGTCGTATCTACAATAAATGTGAGGAATACCTGGATGACACTCAGTTTGGTTTCCGTAACGGGTTTGGAACGAGAGAGGCACTGTTTGGAATGAACGTACTTGCTCAAAGATGTCGTGATATATCTGTAGACATATACTGTTGTTTTATTGACTTCCAAAAGGCATTTGATCGTGTTAAGCACTCTATATTGATCGAAGCTCTAAAAGACATTGGCTTGGACGGCAGAGATGTTCGAATAATTGCAAATTTATATTGGAATCAAACAACATCAGTTTTAGTAGATGGTGTGGAATCACAAGCTCTCAATATTAAAAGAGTAGTACGGCAGGGATGCCTCTTGTCACCCCTGCTTTTTAACGTTTACTCCGAAAGAATTTTCAGAAAAGCACTTTCTGAAAAACAAGAAGGAATACTTGTGAACGGCGAAGTCATCAATAATTTGCGATATGCAGACGATAAAGTACTCCTAGCTTCTAGTCAAGAAGTTCTGCAAACACTACTTGATAGTGTCGTTGAGAGTTGTAGGGAGGCAGGTCTGGATCTTAACATAAGGAAAACCAAAATACTCGTAATAAGTAAACAACAGCATAAAGACAGCAATTCATTTGTAACGCCGAAAATCACGCGAAATTGATCCAGGATAGAGCAGAGCTAGAATTGCTTTGAAGATTTCCAGGTGTTAGTACACAGAGACCTAAAATTGGGCATTAAGGATCCGCCTACTTAGCCTTACTGCTTACTTGTTCTCGGTCTTACTTTATGCTTCGATCCTGACTGTAAATAAAATCGGATCTAAATCGCCTTAAAGCTTTCAAAATTTTGCTATAAAAATTTAATGTTTACTGAGGAAAAATGCGTAACTCCAACACATACTAAACGTCTGCACAAACTACGAGATCAAAAATGCATCAACAAGAAAGCTGAGTATTTCACATGTAATAAGTCCGCAAAAGATAGTTGGCAACAAAATAACATGCAAGGGAAAATAGCAGCAAACGCATCCGAGACGAAGTATAACTCAGTTTTAAGACTTCGAATTGGTAAGGTTAGATACAAGCATGTTATTTAGTGGCATGCATAAAAATTAAAATCTATGATGAACCAGACTAACCACTGTACATTAAAGAAGAAGAATTCTCTTTATTAACTTTATTCACTTTTTGTCTTGTCTTTTCCAAGAATACATTCGATAAATCGCAGATCTTTTTACTTTGTCCAAAGCGACCTAAATAGTGTCGTGTTCTGAGCCGAGACAGTAAAACTGGCACATCTGGTCCTGAGCCACTCGTTTTCTTAGCCTGGAATGTCCTTCGACGTCCAGCACCACGTTCCCTGCTATTTTTTTCCCTAATAATTATTATAAATTCATATTTAGGACTTCTCATCATGTGAAAAATTACTCTATCTGCCTTTGTTTAGACTTGCTAAAACTGCTTCGTTCGTCACTCTGTCATAACATTTTTAAGGGAATTCTTAGCGGTCTATTTGTTAATACTCTGTTTTGCTTTTGATTTTCTGAAATCCTACTTTTCATTGACCCAACAGTCCAAATATTTCTATGATTGTACTCTCTCCAGTAGTTCTCCATATATCCTGATATGAATTAGACTGTTAGCTATATTTTTATTTTTGCTGATTACTATCCATTTGGTTTTCTTTAAATTTACTTCCAAATCAGTTTGTTTACAATCATGTTAACGTGTAGAGTCTGTAAATCATCTTTATTCGTTGCTAGCAAAAATGTATTTTCAGTTGTGGATGACTACTCCGTTGGCAATTATACCTTCTGTTCTGTTCTGTCCTCTACATCTTTTCCGAAAATCTTTTTTGCATATAAAATAAACAAAAGTGGAAAGAGCACACATCACTGTCGAACTCCTCTCATACTAGGAACTTCTTCAGACATCTGATCTTTAATTCTAACGTCAGCTGTCTGATTCCAGTACAAACTGGCTATTATCCGAATGTCCCCTCCATGTAAAGCTATGTTATTCAAAATAACTGTCAACTTCTCGTATTTAACAGTGTGAAAGACTTTCCCGTAGTACAAAGCAGGCATAAGCAACATTTACATCTCGACATCTCTGTATGAGAACCTAGACGCCAAATAACTCCTCTATTGTAGCAAAATCATTCTTAAAGCCTTCTTAGGTATTGCCACGAATGTTGATTTAAACCAATCTATGAATTTAAGCACTTTAAAAAGTACTTAAGACTGACTTAAAACTTTTGATATCTTATTTTTAGTAGTTCTGATGTTAAAATATGTCGTCATAACGCATGTAATCATTTTTAGAGTATTTGAAGTCTTCTGGTTGCTTACTATACTCAATTATTTAAAATAAAAAATATTAAGAGAAAGTAGCAATCAGTTTATTAATAATTTTTGATACATTTTTAAGAATAGCAAATAATTTTGTTTTGACCAGTTTTATTCTTTGATTATATACCAAAATATAAGTGCACATTTTGTATCCCTCTAGACAAAAAGCAAATCAGTTAAACAGATTTGAGCAAAAGAAGCTAGCATCTGCAAATATCGATAATAAACTTAAATGATACGAAATGCGT